CACCCTTTTAATTTTTTTATTTTTCCTACCTTGTTGTCTACTAGTCGTAGAAATAAATGTGTCTGGATGGATAGGAGGTATGACTTCCTTTTTAAAAATATTTTCTTTATTTCCAAAATAAATGCAGTACTTATTAACAGTAACTCTCCATTCCCACCCTGCCTCTCCCCACTCCAACTATCATTAATCTATGTCTGTCTCTCTAGATTTGTCTGTTCTGTACATTTCACATAAATGGAATGACACAATGTGTGGCATTTTGTGTCTGGCTTATTGAATACTTAATGTAAGTTTTCTTTTTTTTTGAAACGGAGTCTTGTTCTGTCGCCAGGCTGGAGTGCAGTGACATGATCTTGACTCACTGCAACCTCTGCCTCCCAGGTTCAAGCAATTGTCCTGCCTCAGTCTCCCAAGTAGCTGGGATTACAGGCACGCACCACCACGCCTAGCAGAAACTGTGTTAGTAGAGACGGGGTTTCACCATTTTGGTCAGGCTGGTCTCAAACTCCTGACCTTGTGATCCGCCTTCCTTGGCCTCCCAAGGTGCTGGGATTACAGGCATGAGCCACCATGCCCAGCCTAATGTAATATTTTCAAGGTTCATCTGTGTCGTATGTATCGGTACCTCAATTCCTTTAATGACTGAATAATCCATTGTCTATCCACTTATCATTTGGAGGTTTGGTTTGTTACCAGTTTTTGTCTTAGCAATAATGCTACTGTGAACATTCTGATTCAGGTTTTTGAGTGGACATGTTATTTGTTCTTTGGGGTATATAACTAGGATATAATTAGGAATGGAATTTCTGGGTCATGTGATAACTGTTTAACTCTCAGAAGAACTGACAAATTGTTTTCTATGGTTTCTGCACCATTTTATATTTCACTAGCAGTGGTTAAGGCTTTGAATTTCTCCACATCCTATCTAACACTTGTTATTGTGTTTTCCTGATATCCAGTCTAGTGGGTATGAAGTAGTATCTCATTGTAGTTTTGATTTTCATCTCATAATGACCAATAATATTGAGTATCTTTTGGTTATTTGTATATCTGCTTTTGAAAAATGTCTTTGAGCTTTTTTTTTTTTTTTTTTTAAGGTAGGGTCTTACTCTGTCATCCAGGCTGGAATGCAGTGGTGCAGACATAGCTCACTGCAGCCTCAACCTCCTGGGCTCAAGGGATCCACTTGCCTCAGTCTCCCTAGTTGCTGAGACTACAGACATGAGCCATTGTGCCCAGCCACATTTTTTGTATTTTTTATAGAGACAGGATCTCGGCTTGTTTCCCAGGCTGGTCTCGAACTCCTGGGCTCAAGTGGTTCTCTCACATTGGCCTCTGAGAGTGCTGGGATTACAGGCGTGAACTGTGCCTGGTACTTTGCCCATTTTTCATCGCACTGATTATCTTGTTATTGTTGAGCTTTAAGAGTTCTTTATATATTCTGGATACTTGACCCTTATTAGAATGTGATTTGCAAATATTTGCTTCCCTTCTATTAATTGTCTTTTTACTTTATTGATGGTGTTTGAAACACAAAAGTTTTTAATTTTGATGAAGTCATTTTAATTATTTTTTTGGTTGCTTGTGCTTTTGGTGTCATATCTGAAAAAACATTGCCTAATTCAAGGTCAGAAATGCATCTGTTTTTTTTTTTTCCTAAGAATTTGATAGTTTCAACTCTTACATTTTGGGTCTTTATTCCATTTGAGTTAATTTTTATTTTTGTTTTTATTTTTTTGAGACAGGGTCTCGCTCTGTTGCCCAAACTGGAGTATAGTGGCATGCTCATGGCTCACTGCAGCCTTGACCTTCTGGGCTCAAGCAAATTCTCCCAGCTCAGCCTCCCTGGAAGCTTGAACTACCAGCGTGCACCACCGCCCCCTGCTAATTTTTGTATTATTTGTAGGGATGAAGTTCTGTCATGTTGCCCAAGGTAGTCTCAAACTCCTGGGCTCAAGCAATCTATCCACTTCAGGCTCCCAAAGTGCCTTTATTACAGGCATGAGCCACTGCACTCAGCTCATTTGAATTAGTTTTTATATACTCTTTGATCCTTTTACGTGTGGATATCTTGTTGTCCCAGTACCATTTGTTGAATATGGCTTTAAAACCAAAACTATTCTTGTCCTCACTTTATTTATCATCAATTCAGATACTCATATGTCTTGCACATTTGCAGGCACTATTAATATAAAACTGGAGTATACAATTTACAATAAGGAATTGGTGTTCCCTTGGGGGCTAATGTTTAGTAGAGACTGATGATGGTATATATACATGAAATTGCTAAAATGGTTTATAATTAAGTGCTGGGGAAGTAGGGGAGAGATGGGAAGTTACCAGGAATTCAGAAGAGGGAGTAAGTCTGTGGTCAGATGGGTTCATAGAGAAGATGAAGCTATTGAGGTTAGGTATGCTTTAGGTTCAAAAAGATCAGAAATGGCCAGAACAGAGCTGTTGAAGCAATTAGATTCTTTTTGGTCCAAGGAGTGTATGGAACACCTTGGACCATACACCTTTTACTCTGTCAGAGTAAAAGCATACTTTTTTTTTTTTTTTTTAGCACTCAGAAAATGATTTGGTTCCAATACAAGTGTAAGTCTTTACAATGCCAAAGAGATCCTACCAAACCAGGACCATTATGTCTTAGACCTCTTCTCCTACTTTCCTTGGCCAGAAATCCACTTTTGACACACTGACGTCTTTTCTTTATGAATAGTCTAGGTGTGTTCTTGCAATAGGACTTTTCTCCTCTCAGCCTGGCATGCTTTTCCCCAAAGTAGCCAGCCATGTGGTAATTCCTTCACTTTCTCAAGTCTTGGCTCCAGTGTCATCTACTCAGTGAAGGCCACCATGCTGGCAGTGTTTTAAAGTTGCGGTTGCTCCAACCACGCACACTCCCCGTCTCCTTTACCCTGCTTTTTACCCCCAGGTAGGATGTATCATCTTTTGTTGTAGTATATAATTTGCTTATTTTTTGTGTTATGTCTCCTGCTAGCAGGTGAGTTCTTGGGCATGGTTTTTTAGTAATTTTGTTTCACTGCTGTACCTGTCACATAGTGAGTGCTCAATAAATATTGGTTAAATGAGTGGACATCCTAGGGATGTTGTACTCTTCGGCTCCTTGTTGAAATTCTCAGGTGCCATCCCAGACCTACTAAATGAGAAACTCTGGGGATGGGGTCCAGTTACTTTGTTTTAACTTTAAGGCCTCCAAGTGATTCTGATGTAAATTAAAATTTAAGAACTTCGGCTATATAATGTTGATTAGGATTTCAGATACCAGGCCTGTTGCTTACAGGTGGAATATGTAGGTACAGAGATAAATGACAAATACCTTAACTGGATTTGTTCTCTCTGTCTCTTTTTCTCCCGTCTCCTCCTTTTTTTCCTGCTATAGGAACAAAATTTGGAGGGAGGTAGCTCAGGGAAAGAGGATGTAAACTGCAGTAACTTTCAGTTGATCATGTGTGTCAGGGGTCTTCATAACCACCCTTAGGTTCCAGTGATTCATTAAAAGGACTCACACAATTCAGCATATAATCATACTGTCTTAATTAAAGTTTATTACAGCAAATAATACAAAGCAAAATCACCAGTTACTCATGGGGCAAAAATCCGAAGTCCAAAGTTAGGGAGTAGGTGCCCCAGTGACCAGCCCCCAATAAAAGCCCTAGGCACTGAGCTTCTAATGAGTTTCTCTGGTAGGCAACACTTAACACTTCTCATAACCCATTACTGGAGGAATTAAGCATGTTCTGTGTGACTCCACTGGGAGAGGACTATTGGAAGCTTTCTCCATGCCAGGAGAAAGCCAGGTACTCGCTGCCTATAATGTACCAAAATTCTAGATTCCCAGAAGGAATGCAGGTGTTCACCATAAACCACACTGTACAAAAGTTTAGGCATAATGGGCCATTCTTTTCAATTAGGGCAGGGGTCCCCACACCCGCAACTGTGGACCAGTACCTTTATGTGGCCTGTTAGGAACCAGGCTGCACAGCAGGAGGCGAGTGGCCCTGAAGGAGCATTAATGTCTGAGCTCCACCCCCTGTCAAATCAGCCACAGCATTAGATTCTCCTTGGAGCCCGAACCCTGTTGTGAACTGCACATCCGAGGGATCTAGATCGTGTGCTCCTTATGAGAATCTAACTAAGCCTAATCTGAGGTGAGAACAGTTTCATCCCAAAACCATTCCCGCCCCCTCCCAAGTAGCTGGGATTACAGGCACCCGTCAGCACATCTGGCTAATTTTTGTGTGTTTTCAGTAGAGACAGGGTTTCTCTACGTTGGCCAGGCTGGTCTCAAACTCCTGACCTTGTGATCTGCCTGCCTCGGACTCCCAAAGTGCCTTTATCCTTGGAAGAAATGTCTTCTACGAAACTGGTCCCTAGTGCCAAAAAGGTTAGGGAATGCTCAGTTAGGGAATGGTGGGAACACTCCTAAGTTTCTATTTGCTAAGAGCCGACTTTGTAAGCAGGACTTTCTAAGAGTAGCAGTCTGTAACCTGCTGTGTTTGGCATATGCTCTTTTCTGCACAACATGGTATTCAGAGAAGTTTGTTTTCTTCTACTCCTTTATGTGGGATATGAAGCATTTGCACTAAATCATCTCTCTCGAGGAGTTTAGTAACAACCAGAACGTTTTGAGAATGATTTCAAAGTATAACTGGGTTTAATAAGTGAGTTTATTCACTTAGACATATTTTCTTAAAAACAATACTGCCTTGATAGTATTATTCACAGTCTGTACTTATTTTTGTAATGAGAAAAATCATTCCTTTTATAGTAAAATTTTCTTTTTCCAAAAATAAGAAAATTGTATCTTTCTTAGTATCCATTTGAAAAATAACATCTATGAACATGACCATCAGCTTCAAAGCAGATACTAATTTTTCTTTACTTTTCTTCCATCTTTCATGGTCCAAAAGGCCTATTTGAAACTTGCAATCTTTGAGTTTTAGTGAGTAACCAATCTTACTTTTTTAATTTTTTTATAGGCCAAGATGCTGAATTATCAGGGACACTTTCACTTGTTTTGACACAGTGCTGTAAAAGAATAAAGGATACCGTTCAAAAATTGGCCTCGGACCACAAAGACATCCACAGCAGTGTTTCTCGTGTTGGAAAAGCCATTGATAAGGTATGGTATTGAAGGAAATATTTTGTATTTTTAAGCATCATTGTCTTTCTTCTGTCGGTACTTAGATAACACTAGCTTTCACAAATTACTTTATGCTATTCCTATTTTGTTTGCTTTTGATAACCTATGCAGGTCTAGTTTTACTATGTTATTCTTATTAAAGTTCCCTGTTACTATTATTTAAAAAATAAAAGCAAAATTAAAAACCCCCTCCTTTTATAGCTTTGTTGTTTATTCATTTGCATACGTGACTGGAGCTCTTAGGGTCATGATGAATAAAGTTCCAAAGAAATTTTTTTTTTGAGGTGGAGTCTCACACTGTCCCCTGGGCTAGAGTGCAGGGGCACGATCTTGCCTCACTGCAGCCTCTGCCTCCCAGGTTTAAGTGATTCTCCTTGGCTTAGCCTCCCAGGTAGCTGGGATTACAGGCACCCATCACCACACCTGGCTAATTTTTTTGTGTTTTCAGTAGAGACGGGGTTTCTCTATGTTGGCCAGGCTGGTCTCAAACTCCTGACCTTGAGATCTGCCTGCCTCGGACTCCCAAAGCGCTGGAACAGGCGTGAGCCACCTCTCTCTGCCATTCCAAAGAAATTTTAACCTAGCATGTGGGAGTTTGTTTACCAGTAGTACCTTTTCCTAATTCCCTGGCTGTGAGTCTATCTCTGTTATGGGATGGTTAGAGTAACAATCTTGTATCAGTCTCCCCTGAATCGTCCTAACTCTTTTCCTTCTATGGATATCCCAGCTACTTTTTAATTTTGCTTTATCCTGTTTGGTCACCACCAATTCAGGTCCTCCCAGCCTTCACAACAGGCTGCCCAGAGCTTACGCAACTACCAGGTTCAAATTAAAAGAACTCCTGGAATCCTCCTGCCAGTGCTGCCATCCTGGCCTTAGGGGCAGTGGCCTCCGGGCCCCCATGAGGAGAACTCCCAGGGCTACTAAATCCTTGCTGGTGGTGATGGTTTCTTATGTGGGGGGATATGGCTGAGCGCTGACTTTGGAAGCCGGGGCTGGTGGGCCTCTGCGATTCGCAGAGAACATCATGGGCAGGAGTGAGGATGACCAGGTCCCTCCACTGGTAGGGGTGGGCAGGCACGGGCCGCTGGTGGTCCGTGCCGACTCCCAAGGTCCAGTGTCTAGCAGTAATCTGTGAAAATGTTCGCTATACACTTGATCTGGAGAACCCCACAAAGTCATGCAAATCAGGAGGTTCCAATCCTCGTGTTCACTTAAGAACACACGTGAAACTGCCCACGCCATCAAGGGTATGCATATATAAAAAGCCACGAAGTATCTGAAAGATGTCACTTTACAGAAACAGTGTGTACCATTCAGACGTTACAATGGTGGAGTTGGCAGGTGTGCCCAGACCAAGCAGTGGGGCTGGACACAAGGTCGATGGCCCAAAAAGAGTGCTGAATTTTTGCTGCACATGCTTAAAAATGCAGAGAGTAATGCTGAACTTAAGGGTTTAGATGTAGATTCTCTGGTCATTGAGCATATCCAAGTAAACAAAGGACCCAAGATGCGCCGCCAGACCTACAGAGCTCATGGTCGGATTAACCCATACATGACTTCTCCCTGCCACATTGAGACAGTCCTTACCAAAAGGAACAGATCATTCCTAAACCAGAAGGGGAGGTTGCCCAGAAGAAGATATCCCAGAAGAAACTGAAGAAACAAAAACTTACGGCACAGGAGTAAATTCAGCATTAAAATAAATGCAACTAAAAGGAAAAAAAAAAAGAACTCCTGGAAGACTTAAGTCAATGGAGTCTCATATGAAACAGCCTACACGGAATTCCTCATGTATGTGAGAAGCCCATTCATAATGTCTAGGTACTTCCAATGGAGAAACAGCTTCCTCTTCAGCTAAGGCCAAGTAGATGCCAAAAATATGGGGAGAAAATGTACTGAAAGATGTTAGGGAACTGAGCTACAAGATCCAGGCTTCCTCTGTGGCGGTAGACTACAGTACCACAAACACTATTCAGTATCAACTAAATAATATAGTTTATTTTTTTATTTTTGAGATGGAGTCTTGCTCTGTCACCCAGGCTGGAGTGCAGTGGTGCAATCTCGGCTCACTGCAACCTCCGCCTCCTGGGTTCTCCTGCCTCAGCCTCCCAAGTACCTGGGATTACAGGCACCTGCCACTATGATGGCTAATTTTTTTGCATTTTTAGCAGAGATAGGGTTTCACCATATTGGCCAAGCTGGTCTCAAACTCCTGACCTCAGGTAATCTGCCCACCTTGGCCTCCCAAAGTGCTGAGATTAGAGGTGTGAACCACCAGGCCCAGCCAACTAAATAATATAGTCTCATATGATGGATGAGAAGAATCTAGAATCCAGGTCACCCAGAACTGAAACTACTTTAACAGGAACATCAAACAATTTTTTGGGCTGGGCACTACTCAGGAGGTTGAGGCAGGAGAATCGCTTGAACCCAGAAGGCAGAGTTTGCAGTGAGCTGAAATCATGCCACTGCACTCCAACTTGGGTGAGAGAGACAGAGAGACAGAGACAGAGAGAGAGAGAGCGCGTGCAAGTGCGCGCATCTCAAAAACAACCACAACAATTTTTTGAAAGAACTGTAAAAGAATTACTTGAAAAAGTCCTTACAACTTCCAAGGGCATGAAAAAAAAAAGCTCCAGGATCTGGAGCATTTGGGCAAGTAATTCACCAATTATGCTTTCTGCAGCTGGTAGCATGACCATATATGTCCCTGTTTCCTAGTTTATGTCTGTTGTTCTGTCACGATTATCGGAACCTTCTTTTGGTCTTGTCCTGCTTGGTCCTGGTACCTTGCTGAGCATGTCTTACTCCAGATCTAGTAGATCTTTATAGATACTGATAAGGGTTGTCAGATATTTTGACCAATCTTTAAGGCAAAACATTATCTGGATATACTTGGTGCCAAAAATGGAAGTATCTTATTGGGAATGGCTATCAAGGGAACACATTTATAATGAATAATCTACATTCTGGCTTATTTTGGACAGGCAGATGTGTTTGAGCTGAAGATTCCTAATTACATATTTTAATTTACTTGTTCCTCTCTTGAGGACTTTTTTTTTCATGCCCTTGGAAGTTGTAAGGACTTTTTCAAGTAATTCTTTTACAGTTCTTTCAAAAAATTGTTGTGGTTGTTTTTGAGATGCGCGCACTTGCACGCGCTCTCTCTCTCTGTCTCTGTCTCTCTGTCTCTCTCACCCAAGTTGGAGTGCAGTGGCATGATTTCAGCTCACTGCAAACTCTGCCTTCTGGGTTCAAGCGATTCTCCTGCCTCAACCTCCTGAGTAGTGCCCAGCCCAAAAAATTGTTTGATGTTCCTGTTAAAGTAGTTTCAGTTCTGGGTGACCTGGATTCTAGATTCTTCTCATCCATCATATGAGACTATATTATTTAGTTGGCTGGGCCTGGTGGTTCACACCTCTAATCTCAGCACTTTGGGAGGCCAAGGTGGGCAGATTACCTGAGGTCAGGAGTTTGAGACCAGCTTGGCCAATATGGTGAAACCCTATCTCTGCTAAAAATGCAAAAAAATTAGCCATCATAGTGGCAGGTGCCTGTAATCCCAGGTACTTGGGAGGCTGAGGCAGGAGAACCCAGGAGGCGGAGGTTGCAGTGAGCCGAGATTGCACCACTGCACTCCAGCCTGGGTGACAGAGCAAGACTCCATCTCAAAAATAAAAAAATAAACTATATTATTTAGTTGATACTGAATAGTGTTTGTGGTACTGTAGTCTACCGCCACAGAGGAAGCCTGGATCTTGTAGCTCAGTTCCCTAACATCTTTCAGTACATTTTCTCCCCATATTTTTGGCATCTACTTGGCCTTAGCTGAAGAGGAAGCTGTTTCTCCATTGGAAGTACCTAGACATTATGAATGGGCTTCTCACATACATGAGGAATTCCGTGTAGGCTGTTTCATATGAGACTCCATTGACTTAAGTCTTCCAGGAGTTCTTTTTTTTTTTCCTTTTAGTTGCATTTATTTTAATGCTGAATTTACTCCTGTGCCGTAAGTTTTTGTTTCTTCAGTTTCTTCTGGGATATCTTCTTCTGGGCAACCTCCCCTTCTGGTTTAGGAATGATCTGTTCCTTTTGGTAAGGACTGTCTCAATGTGGCAGGGAGAAGTCATGTATGGGTTAATCCGACCATGAGCTCTGTAGGTCTGGCGGCGCATCTTGGGTCCTTTGTTTACTTGGATATGCTCAATGACCAGAGAATCTACATCTAAACCCTTAAGTTCAGCATTACTCTCTGCATTTTTAAGCATGTGCAGCAAAAATTCAGCACTCTTTTTGGGCCATCGACCTTGTGTCCAGCCCCACTGCTTGGTCTGGGCACACCTGCCAACTCCACCATTGTAACGTCTGAATGGTACACACTGTTTCTGTAAAGTGACATCTTTCAGATACTTCGTGGCTTTTTATATATGCATACCCGTGATGGCGTGGGCAGTTTCACGTGTGTTCTTAAGTGAACACGAGGATTGGAACCTCCTGATTTGCATGACTTTGTGGGGTTCTCCAGATCAAGTGTATAGCGAACATTTTCACAGATTACTGCTAGACACTGGACCTTGGGAGTCGGCACGGACCACCAGCGGCCCGTGCCTGCCCACCCCTACCAGTGGAGGGACCTGGTCATCCTCACTCCTGCCCATGATGTTCTCTGCGAATCGCAGAGGCCCACCAGCCCCGGCTTCCAAAGTCAGCGCTCAGCCATATCCCCCCACATAAGAAACCATCACCACCAGCAAGGATTTAGTAGCCCTGGGAGTTCTCCTCATGGGGGCCCGGAGGCCACTGCCCCTAAGGCCAGGATGGCAGCACTGGCAGGAGGATTCCAGGAGTTCTTTTAATTTGAACCTGGTAGTTGCGTAAGCTCTGGGCAGCCTGTTGTGAAGGCTGGGAGGACCTGAATTGGTGGTGACCAAACAGGATAAAGCAGAATCCACTGTGGCAACAGCCCTGAGTAATAA